TCTCTCTCTTTGCAGGCAATGATCATATATTTCGTGTAGCGCCCACAATGTGTTCGACGAAATGTCTGTTTGGAGACAATATCACAAACTGATTTGTTTTTTGTTTTCCACAAAACACACAATAAAAAGGGAACCTTTTCTGTAAAACATGGAGTTTCAGTTTCAGTTTCACTTGAATACATTGATTGGCACGTTATGTATAACATTCATTATCATTAACAGATCTTTGTGTTGCGTTTCATGAACTAAAATTTCGACCACAAATATTGAAATAAACATTCAAAATATATTTTAGATTGTTAAGATATGATTCCATCCAAGAAATCACGAAATGGTCACTCAATGGAAACCAGAGATTGTACAAAATAGATTAAGGATAAACTCTCTATGTTTAAAGGGCAAATGATTCTTCCAGTACGGAGCCGATGCTAATTCAGAGAGTGAGAGCGGTTCGAGCCATGGACAGAGCGCCTTCGTAGGACTGGTTTCCGCCGATGAAACCGCTCATGTGGACAAAGACGCAACCGGGTATCTCAGCGACTTTAGAGAGTTCCTCATCTCTAAGGCCTCTCCATTGTTCAGGAAGAGCCTTTCGGTTCTCAAACCTGTCTGGTGCAACCGCTACTGCTTGAACTCTCCACTGATTTCCTCGCTCGTCCTGTTTTACATTTCATACCATTTTTAGAGATACATCATTTGCAGTAACTATCAAAAGAAACAAACCCAAATGATCTTTGTATTCCACCAATACTAGTTTAATTTCACATTTCATCCGGAGAACCATTGTTTGAACAAGTGCCTATCCTTTTCTAGTCTGTTTAACTCTACAAGCATATCTTAATATGGTGCTTAAAGGTTACCTGGTAGATGACGTATTTGATGAGGGGTTCAATCTTCATCTCTTGCTCAAGCTCAAACAAGTGAAGCTTCCACTGCTCACCAGAGAAGCAGAGTTTAAAATCTTAGACTAGAATGGTACTACCATTGATAAGAGGAACAGAGTGTGGAAGAACTTACAGGGCAAAATTTTTTTAATTCCATGATCTCACCACTTGGGTCTGTCTTGAATCTTTCTTCAAGACACTGCACCACGATTGATCTAGCCGGTAACCACGATCTTGTATGAAATCTGACACTCTAGAACACGATGAATTTGAATCTAATGTAAGCATATATTGTTTAATCTTGTAGAACATACATTTGCTGTTGAGATAGAACAGGTAGCAAGCTTACTTCGAGGAACTCTTTTCCAGCCAGAGCCATTGCACGTTGAAAAGCCTCGTTCTCCTTCTCTTGTGACTGGTCAGGATCAATCCAATCCAGATTCAATCTTCCAACCCTTGAAGACAGATGTGTGTTGTTCACATATCTTGGAGGCTTATCAGTATCATACCGATTTATTCCATTGTCCACAGCATCAATTGCCTGTCAAAATAAAAAAGATAATGCCATTGAAACAAACAAGAATGAAAATATACGAAGAAAAATCATTATGCGCATATGCCTAGAGTGCAAATCAACAATGATAGAAAGAAACTAAATTTGAGTTTGAAAATTGATATATCTGCAATTTACCTCCATGAAGCTCTTGTAGACAGCTAAAAACAATCGAAGAACATCCGGGTGATCTTGGTCGACGTTTAGTTCCTTAGCTATAATCTCCTTCCCAAAATGCTGAATGGAATAAACAAACATTCAGGCACTGACATCACTCAGAGAAATCTAAGTGAGAATTACAAGTAACAAACACTCTACCTTGTAAACGAGACCAGCACTACTGAGTTTGGTGTTAAATCCATGTCCAAAGACCTCTTCAAAACCTTTCTGGTGATGATCATAACGGTCAGAATCCGGATCATAAACACCTCCAACATCAAGCACTGCATCAAGCTCAGCCAGTATCTGCATCGACAATCTCACACACGTAACATCAAAACCCTAATTCCAAAATCAACATTTCTAGCAACTAAACAATCTCACAATTACTAAGCCAGACCTACTTCAACAACATATAGAAATCCAGACAAGAAAGTCGAGTTATGTTACCTTAGGGTCACGAGTGCGAACGATATCGGCGCCGGAGAATTTATCGGCGAGGCGAATCATGAAGCAACCGAGAGCCTCGTCGCAGTGAAAGCTTCCATTATGAGTACCAACTTGCTTGACGGAAACCTCCGAAGGAGAGGGAGAGACAGGAGTGGAGTAAACCCTAACGACACCAGTAGGAGCCATTGCTGCTGCTACGAGAGGAAGACGAAGAAGATGAAACGACGACAAGTTTCTGATTAAACCTCTCGTTACCGGAAACATCACGAAATAACAAGTAAAATGTCAATGGGCCTCTTCTTATCCTTTTATAATATACAAAAATGTCTAGGCCCATGGGCCTGAGGTTCCAGTATTCTACAGTTTTAAATCCTTTTATCTGTAAAAGAGTGTTACAAATGTTCTTGAGCTTCGGTTCAAATTTCTATTCTGGCTTATTTCAATTTGAAAAACGCGATTTTAATCTTAAATAATTAAGGTCTGTTACAAAACTATTCATCTACATTTCATTTTGTTCCTCTCTTCGTGTATTTGAGGATCTCTTAAATTTGATCGTCACTGTCTTTCTCCTTCTATGCAAAAGGGAAAAAAGGTCATTGTGAGTTTCAGGTCATCAG